ATCTGCCTGAAAGGCAGGAGATACAGGTTTGATCCCTGAGTCAGAAGGTTCCCTGAATATTCTTGCCTGGAGAATTCCAGGGACAGAGGAACCTGGAGAGCAATAGTCCACAGGGTCGCAAAGAGGCAGACATAACTGAGCGACTAACACTTCCACTTTTCAAGATCTGGCTTCCTCCATGCTCCTCAGCTCAGATGTTAATCATTAAGAAACTACTGTGGCCCCAAAACCCCTTCATGGATCTCTGTCTTGTCTTGGTGAAGGGGCGTGTGTAACTCAATGAAGCTATGAGCCATGCTGTGTAGGGTCACCCAAGATGGACGGGTCCTAGCAGAGAGTTCTGACAAAACGTGATCCACTGGAGGAGCAAATGGCAAGCCACCCTAGTATACTCGCCATGAGAACCTTATGAACTGTATAAAAGGCCAAAAAGATATGACTGGCGTGCTGCAGTCCATGGGGTAGCAAAGCGTCAGACATCACTGGACAAATGAACCATAACAAAAGCAACAACAATGGCCCCAATAGCTTGCTCAGTGAGTAAATTTAGGATTTTGGAGTTTCTTTAACAGTGTCTGAGAAGGTGGCATTGGAGCTCCTCAGAGCATCATACCTTTGGATAAATCTGACATACACAGATCCTGAAACTTTCTGACCACCAGGACTTTAAAAGTCTCTAGAGGCTAGACAGAGAAACAAGAGTCACCTTACCAAACTCTATGAACATTAATTGTTCAAGTGTATTTGCAGAATATGCCACATGCTTCTCTGAGCAATTTAAAAAAATATTAAGGACAATCTCAAGGTCCTTGCTGTCAATCACTGTTAATCACTGTTAGTCCACAGACATTTATTGATACCTAATAGGTGTTCACCCTTGCCCTGGGAGCAGCTGTATCGGACATGGTAAAAGTTCGGTATCTAGCTTTCCTGGGATCAAGACATGAACTTATGCAAAGGAGAAATAGCAAGAACTCTCAGCCTGGATTCTCTCAAAGCCCAGAGACAGGACCTGGCTCCATGAAGCTCCCCAGGGAAATGAGAAATTAGGCTGAAATGTTGAATCGGGCACATCCCAGCAAAATCAGTTATGAGACTGCCTTGATACTCCCAACTGTTTCCTAAATAATGAGGCTCCGGGGAGGTTCTGCTTCCTCTAGGCTTCAGGTTCCCTGACTTAAGATGCTGAATTAATTACTAGGGAAGGTCTCTGCAGTCACATTCAGCCCACTTAGTGAGTAAAAATTTGGGTTATTTCAAAGGTCTCTCAGAGAACCTGGTCCCGGAAGCCCTCAGATCAGCGAGTTATCATTACCCTCCGAAGCAAAGGGAGGCCCCATCTCTGCTCTTTCCCCTCCTAGACATGGGTCACTATGAGGAGAGTGGGTTGGGAAGTGGGTGGCTGCTGTTGTTTTCATTTTTGTTTCTGTGGGTGCACAGTTGAGTAAATCATATGCCTTGGTTTATGAATATTATCCCCACCAGTCCTCAGAAAGCATCTCTCTGGCTTTACTGTCTTTCATTACCTCCAATTTCTACTCCCTTCCTCTTCCCCCACATATGTATCCTCACTCAAGGATGCATATATCCTCAGAGAACACATGTTTTATACGTCTGTATGTTGTATGTCTGTATGTTTATATACTGGGCTTCCCTGGTGGCTCAATGGTAAAGAAGCAGCCTGACAATGCAGGAGACATGGGTTTGATCCCTGGGTCGGAAAGATCCCCTGGAGAAAGAAATGGCAACCCACTCCAGTATTCTTGCCTGGAGAATCCCATGGACAGATGAGCCTGGTGGGCTACAATCCATAGGGTCTCAAAAGAATCGGATATGATTTAGTGACTAAAACAACAAACAAAAATTGCATTTATTATTTGTTAAAGATTTGCAGAGGTCTCTGTCAACCATAGGGTCTCAAAAGAATTGGACACAACTTAGTAACTAAACAACAGCAACAAATGGTTATATATATAAATAATACTATGCAGTAGATCTCATTGTCTCTCTCTCTTTTCTTTTAAAGCTTTGTTTATTTATTTTTGGCTGTGCTGGGTCTTCACTGCATGCACAGGCTTTCTCTAGTTGCAGTGAGCGTTGGCTACTCTTTGTTGTGGAGCGCGGGCTTCTCATTGTGGGGGCTCCTCTTGTTGCGGAGCACAGGCCTAGAGCACAGGCTCAGTAGTTGTGGCCCATGGGAGGAGTTGCCCTGGAATCTTCCAGGACCAGGGATTAAGCCCATTAGGTTCCTTAACTTTTGCATGAACACTACTTTTATGATTCATTCTCCCTGCTCTATGGACACCCCTGCTTCTCTTATCTCTTTCCAATCCATTTCTTACCCTCACCAGAGCATTTCTCTTAATGTTTAAGTTAAACCTGATCACTCTCCTGCTTAAATCATTTCAAAAATGTGCTATTAAAATTAGAAAAATGAAAAACAGCCTAGATGCTTCTCTGGTCTTGCTCCTAGATGTAGTCGGCAACCTCAACCAGTGTCACTTGCTTTCTTTGATTCCCAAAACATCTGCCATCTTGGCTTTCTTTCAGTTCTCAAATTCACAAAATTCTGTCATCTCAGAGCTTTTGCCTTTGCTTTCCTCCTGCCTGGAAGCTCTTCCCTCAACTTTTTCCCATCCAAGTACCAACCAGGCCTGACCCTGCTTAGCTTCTGAGATCAGACGAGATCGGGCGCGTTCAGGGTGGTATGGTCATAGACTTCCCTCAACTTTCTGAAAGGCTTTGTACTAAGCCAAACTATTCTGAGTTCAGCCAAACTATTTTAAGTTCAACTCATAGACTTGGATGAAATGTCAAGAATCAGACATAGAATCTAACTTCAAGTGCTGAGGGGCCAAACAACATGCTCTATAGTTTGAGGTGTTAAGAGAGCATCATGCGGGTGAAATGTCAATGGAAAACAGAAGATAGGAGGGCTTTGGACAGAAAAATTCCCTCTCCTCTCTCCCTCCTGTGGATTACTCTGAGGTGCAGTTTCCCCTTGCAAACCCTCTAAATAAATTATCTGTGCCAAACTCACTTATAAGTTGAATGACTTACTATTTCTCTTTGCAGCTTGTTGTGAAGCAACAATCAGTACATTAATGAATCACACACTACAGTTCTTCACATTTTCCCTTGCCTTTCTTCCCTTTTTTCCTCACCATCCTGAGAAAGCTTTGTATCTACTAAACAAAGCGTCAGCATTTTAATAATTGTCTCAAGATCTGCTGTTTACAGTTTCCTTGGGATTTTCTATATGGACAATCATATTTTCTGCCAAAAGAGACAGTTTTACTTTTGCTTTCCAATTATACGACTTCCTTTTTCTTGCCTTATTGCACAGCCCAGGATTTCCAGTATGTTGGATAGAAACGATGATAGATGACATCATTGTCTGTTTCTAGTCTTAGAGATAAAGCATTTGGTCTTTCACCATTAAATGTATTACTTTATATATTTTTTTAATTTTTTCATTTATTTTTATTAGTTGGAGGCTAATTACTTTACATCATTGCAGTGGTTTTTGTCATACATTGACCCCTCCTATTTCTAGAATTACTATCATGAATGAATGATAAATTTTGTCAAAGACTTTTTCTGCCTCTATTGAGAATAATTCTATGGGATTTTTTCTTCTTAAATCTTACAATATGGTGAATTAAATTATTGACTTTTTAATTTTGAATGTGCCTTACATTCTGAGGATAAACTCTACTTGGTCAGCATATATTAATTTTTTTAAGTAAAATTGTAAATTTGCTAAGTTCTACTTAATAATATTTTGCTTAAGATTTTTGTGTCTGTGATCATGAGGGATACTCATTTCCAGTATTCTTTAAAAAAAAAATAGCTTTGTCTGGTTTTCGTTTCAATACAACGTTTGCCTCATAAATTTAGCTGTAAAATGGTCTCTCCTTTTCTGTTTCTAGAAGACTGAATAGAATTTGTGTTATTTATTCCTTAAACATTTTAATTCTCCAACAAAAGCACCTGAGCCTGGATGTTCTTCATTAGAATATTTTAACTACAAACACAATTTCTTTAATAGCATTAAAGTTCAGGCTATATCTTTCTTCTGAGTAAGCTTTTGTAGTATGTTTCTTTCAGGGAATTGACCCATTTAATGTAACTTATTGGAATAATGTGCACAGTGTTATCCTATTTTTTCTTGGTCAGTCTTGCTAGAAATCTGTTTATCAACCTTTCCAGAGACAGCTTTTTAGTTTGTTGAATACTGTTTTGCAATTCTTTATTTTACTGATTTCTTTCACTATCTTTTTTTCTCCTCCTTGTTTCTTTTGGATTACTCTTGTTGCTCTGTCTCCAATTTATTAGTCTGGATACTTAGGTCATTTGTTTTCAACTGATAAGAAAAGAATATCTCAGACACCACACAACTATCAGCCATTCTCATTTCTGCCACTCCAAGAGAAAACTTCTATGAGCACTAGGAAGAAAGTATCTTCCTAGTTTGTATTTCAAAAGCCTTAAGAGATTTAAATAGAGGCCAAATGAGTGCTCACTTGTTTTCATCAGCTCTTCATGCTAGCAAGGTTTTTAACTGCCATCATGGCACCCCATTGTAGCAAAGGTAACTGATTTTCCCCTGATACAAGGTTTTTGCTTCTTCCATACTAATATAATGTTAGCAGGGCATATGGGCACCAAGTGTAATGAATACATTTCCCAGGCTCAACTGCAGCCAGTTGAGGCCACGTGATCAAGTTCTGGCCAACAGGATATAAAGGGAAGAGGTGTGTGCATTCTTCAGGCGACCTTTCCTCTTTCATATTGGTTAAAATAAAGACTTATTATCAGAAGTTTAACAGTTACCTTGGACCATAATATGGAGTCATTCTTTTTTTTTTTTTTAATATTTATTTGGCTGTGTTGGGTCTCAGTTTCAGCATGTGGGACCTTTTAAATGTGGCGTATGGGATCTAGTTCTCTGACCAGGGATCCAACCTAGGCTCCCTGCATTGGGAGTGCAGAGTCTTAGCCACTAGACCACCATGGAAATCCCTGGAATCATTTTTAAGATTGCCAGAGAACCATGAGAGGCAGCCTGGATCTTTGATGATTATGTAGTCAACATATCCTGAGACTGTTTATTTGTACACAAGAGGAAAATAAATGCTCAATTTTTTAAAGCTATGATTATTTAGAGCTTCTCTCTTATAATAGCCAAACCATTATCATTTTCCCTACAAAATTCTGGTTAAGTAGGCAGGAAAATATCAATAATTTCATTCCACAGATGAGAAGACTAGACTTATACAAAGTAAATGGAGGTACTCATGTTAGGATCCGGGTCTCCTGGGAACCAGTCAGGACTCACTTTCCTTATGAAACTGTGATGAATTTGTTCCATGGCCTTGACTTTAGACAATGCCTTTGCACTCACTCTTGGTCTTCATCTGGACTTGTGAATTTTATGCTGTAGAAATAAAAATCATAAGTTCCAATTGTCTTTGACTCAGTCTTGGTTGAGACTAGAGGGCACACATTTCAACACAAAGAACTTTGAGGGAACACAAGATTCCAGTATCTTCTCATTATAAACTGTTCATAAGCCTGTTCACTGAAAATAACATAGATAATTCCTGTATTGCTGAGAGCTTTGTTTTAACAGTCACAAGGATTTTTTATTCTTAAACTTCATGTAATATTTGTGTAATTTCCTCTTTTTATAGGAAAAAATATACCTGTTCACTGAAAGTTGTAAACTCTTTGCCACCCAGTATTGACCTCTTTGCCACCTAATATTGACTTGCTAGTATTTAGATCATGAACTACTTTCCATGACTTCACTGATCAATCTTCTTTTTTTATTTTTTATTTTTATTTTGTTTTAATCTTTTTTTTAAATCAGATAATAGTTGCTTTACAATGCTGTGTTAGTTTCTGTTGTACAGCAAAGTGAATGGTCAACTTTTGATAAATTAATATAAGCGGTTATGCAAACTTTTAGAATTATGAACATTGCAAAAGACATCCACTCCTGTGAAAAGTCATTTTATAAGCAAATAAGTGATAAAAGCAACTCTCAACTTTAAAGAAAGATGCAACATCTTGATTTTCTTCAGTAATATCAAACGCATGGTGGAGAGGCAGGGGAAGCGAGTGGCAATAGGTATGTACGTGGGATTTCGAGATGAGACACTTGAGGTAGAAATTTCTGTGGTGTTCCTCACTGAGGGGACAAAGGACACCCGCAGGTTCTCTGTAAAGTCACTGACCACAGGAGGAGACTTTGCCCCTGAGAAGTCTCCCCAGGGCCCCCTTCATGTCCCTGTTCCGCAGGCTGTAAATGAAGGGGTTTAGCAGAGGAGTCACCACCGTGTACATGACAGCAGCTGCCGTATCCTCTTCTACTGAATTGGGGGAAGAGGATGGGGGGCACAGATAAGCCCTGATCACAGTCCCAAAGAACAAGGCAACAACAGCAAGGTGGGATCCACAGGTAGAGAAGGCCTTGTACCTTCCTTGGGCAGAGGGGACCCTGAGGATGGCTGAAACAATGCGGATATAAGAGACCAGAATGAGCCCGAAGGGGATTAAAATGACTGCTCCCCCCAAGAAGAGGAGCACAAGCTCATTGACCTGAGTGTCAGAGCAAGACACCTTCATCAGGGGTCCCAGATCACAGAAGAAGTCGGGAATGATCTTCTTAGAGCAGAAGGAAAGTCGGAATATGAGGAATGTGTGTGTCATGGCAACAAGACTCGTAAGGGTCCAGCAGGCAGTAACCAGGATGATGCAACACCGGCGGCTCATGACCATGGCATAGTGGAGAGGGTGGCAAATGGCCACATAGCGGTCATAGGCCATTGTAGCCAGGAGAAATATGTCCATATCCCCAAATGTCAAGAAAAAGTAGAGCTGAGTCAGACACTCCACATAAGAAATGGACCTGTTCTGGGTCTGGATGTTCACCAGGGCCTTGGGGACGGTGGTGGAGGTGAAAAGGATGTCTGCACAGGACAGGCTGGCGAGGAAGAAGTACATGGGTGTGTGAAGACGCGAGTCAGTGCCAATGGCCAGGATGATGAGTAGGTTCCCAGCCACCGTGACCAAGTACATCCACAAGAATAGCAGGAAGAGCCCGTGCTGCTGCTCCGGCCGCTCAGAGAGACCCCAGAGGAGGAACTCAAAGACGCTGCTCTGGTTCCCTCCTGCCATAAGCCCAGAAGTCAGAGGAAGGAACTTTGGATGAGACCCATTAACCTTCTCTAAGCATATTTCACTCTACACGATCCATAAATGTACCAGTCTCTTAGTTCTAGAGAAGAAAAACAAGAATGATCTTAATTGTATTGATCACATACTATGTGCACTAGACATTTTAAATGAAATCTACTAGATACAATATTCTAGGAAGTGTAAGAAACACAGTTTAAGGAAATTAAACTAGATTCTTAGTTTATTTCTCTATATGCTTTTTCGTCCCAAATTTCTTTAGTTGTAGTTTCTGCTTCAGCTGTATTCACTGGAAAGTCTAGAACCCTTCATTCATTCATTCCACAGATATTAGGTGCTAACTCTGGACCTGGTAGTGCTAGATAAATAAGACAATGATAATCCTTAAATTCAGAAAAACTTCAATTTAATGGGATAGACATAACTGCTTATTTTTAAAATTCTATAAAATTTTTATTCAGGGTTCTCCCCCCTACCACCACCATTCAGCTGCCTTCAAATCACTCTCAGACACCAGACTTCACCTGGCCTGGTCTATCATGTCCAAAAGTCAACATTCTGAAGACACAGTCTAGTATCTATTCTAGTGTGTGCACGTTCAGTCACCCAGTTGTGTCTGACTCTTTGTGACGCTGTGGATTGTATCCTGCCAGGCTCTTCTGTCCATAGAACTTTCCACACAAGAATACTAGAGTGTGTTGCTATTTCTTCCTCCAGGGGATCTTCCCGACCCAGGGATCAAACCCACATCTCTTGCATTGGCAGGCGAGTTCTTTACCACTCGAGTCACCGGGGAAGCCCTATTATCTATTCCACCGGAAACCAATTCAATAATCAAACAGCTATTTGGTGAATAGATGTAAGATAACTCAAGTTATCTATAACAACAAAGAAGAAATCATAATCCCTAGTTTCTAAAGTCTCAAAACCTGGTTGGATGTATACACACACACACACACACACACACACATATACCCCTCTCTAATACAAAGCAGACTGAAGCAGAAAAGGAAGGCTTTCTGGACTCTAAATGTACTTTTGGATCTTGTCAGCTGGCTAGGGAGCTGGAGGTTTGAGTATAAGGTGGAAGAGGGACGGCAGGCTGAGGTAAAAGCTGGAAAGGGAGCTGAAGGCCAAATTAGGAAATATCTGTACTGGAAAGTAAAGGATCTGGAACTTAATCCTGGATGTTATAAAGAGCCACTAAGGCTCAGCCAGTAAAGAATCTGCCTACAATTCAGGAGACCTGGGTTCAATCCCTGGGTCAAGAAGATTTCCTGGAAGAGGGCATGAAAACCCACTCCAGCATTCTTGCCTGGAGAATCCCATGAACAGAGAAGCCTGGTGGGCTACAGGCCATGGGGTCACAAAGAGTCAGACATGACTGAGTGACTAAGCACACACACAAAGCTACTTGAGTAGGAAGTGACGTCAGTACCTGAGTAGGTCCAGTACATGAAAACCCTGCTCCTGTCCCATGTGTGAAACCAACTGAGGGTCAGACAAGGAGTTGGTCAGTCAGGTGGAGGGGAAAACATCACCCTTGTTACTGAAAAAGACTAGGTTGCAGATTTTATCTTAGCTGTGTTCACTAAGTGACTTTTTTAATATACTTCCAAAATTAAATCTATTTCCCCTTTCACAGGCTCGGTTGGACAATCATGGGACTCTTCCATATGTTCAGTTCAATTCAATTTAGTCACTCAGTCGTGTCCAACTCTTTGAGACCTCATGGACTACAGCATGCCAGGCCTCCCTGTCCATCACCAACTCCCGGAGTTTACTCAAACTCACGTCCATTGAGTTGGTGATGCCATGCAACCATCTCATCCTCTGTCGTCCCCTCTTTCCTCCTCTCACCTTTAATCTTTCCCAGAATCAGGGTCTTTTCAAGTGAGTCAGTTCTTCGAATCAGGTGGCCAAAGTATTGGAGTTTCAGCTTTAGCATCAGTCCTTCCAATGAATATTCAGGACTGATTGCCTTTAGGATAGTTCCTTCCATATGTAAATATACATAAGCTCTTAAAGCATTTGTATGCCATCAGGAATGTGAGAAGACAATCCATAGAATGGGAGAAAATTCTTGTCAATCATATATCTGATCAGAGATTTTTGTGTGTGGGCTTGATAAACATTTATTGGATTAATGAATAAACAGTAGGTGCTTAAAATATCATCTAGGAATTAAAGAATAAGTGAATAAATAAAATATTTTATAATATTTCATTTTCCAAAGATACACTATGCCAATTTTCAATTTATTTTGCCATACTGGATAGATATCTTTTTAAAAATAGGAAACACTTCACAAATTTGTATGTCATCCCTGCACAGGGGTCATGATGATCTTCTCCATATGAATCCAATTTTAGTATATGTGCTGTCAAAGCGAGCACTGATCAGAGATTTTTTTTCTTTTATTTTTTGATCAGAGATTTTTATCTAGAATATAAAAAAAAAACAATTACAGTTCAATAATAAAAAGAAAATTAACCCAAATTTAAAATGAGTAAAGGATCCTAATAGACATTTCTCCAAAGAAGGTATACAAATGAGCAATAAGCATATAAAATATGTTCAATACTACTGGGCTTCAAGTTAATACACACCAAAATCACAAGCTAGCACGTCACATCCTCTAGAATGACTAGAATCAATAAATCAGATAACAAGTGTTGTCAAAGATATGGAGAAATTGGGATCCTTAAAAACTGTTCATGGGAATGTAAAATAGTTCTGTCTCTTTGGAAAACAGTGTGGAAGTTTCTCAAAAGGCTAAAAGAAGAATTTTCATATGACCCAGCAATATCACTCTCACGTATATACCCAAGAGAAATGAAAACATATGTCCACACAAAAACGTGTACACAAATGTTCATCACAGCATCATTCATAATAGACCAAAACTGAAAAAGATCATGAACTGGTGAATGGATTAATAAAATGTGGCATATCCATACAACCAATCAGTGTTTGTCAATAAAAAGAAGTGAAGCACGCATACATGCTAACAACACGGATGGATCTTGAAAACATTATACTAAGTGCAAGGAGCCAGACACAAAGAACAATGTATTGTGTGATTCAGTTTATAAGAAATATCTTAACAGGCAAATTTGTAGAGACAGAAAGCAGATTAGTGGCTGCCTAAGGCTGGGAGGGATGGGCGAGTTGGGGCAGGGTGGCTAAGGAATGTACGGCTTCATTTCAGGGGTGATGAAAACATTGTAAAATTGGTTGTGGTGATTACTGCATGGTCCAGTGGATACTGAACATAAAAAGTCATTGAACTGTATATTTTGAATGAGTGAATTATATATATTATATATTATTTATTGAATTGCATATCAATAAAGCTCTTAAACTTTTTAACTTCTTCGAAAAAACTTAATAAAAGAGGTAAGCCACTTTCTAACTTACTCAAGAAAAAATGAGAGGGTAGGGAGAAAAACCACAAATAGACAAAACAAGAAATGACAAGGGGGATATAAACTGAAAAAGCAAATTATTTAAAGTCACTATACTATTTAGCAAGAGGCCATGCAAACAAATGTGTAATTCTAAATGAAATGATTCCTCCACTGTAAACTCACATTTTCCTTTGGAGAATGAAATATACCAAAAATTACCCTGGTAGAGAAGGAAAGTCTAAGTCAATAACATTCCAGAAAGAAAAAAAAAATGCTGTGGTAATCATTTTTCTCGTCGTAATACCACAGTAGGAACTGCCCTCAAATCTCAGTGGCTTACAAAAACGAAGATTTATTTCCTCATTTATGATGGATGTCGGGGTTTCCCACATGGCTCAGTGGTAAAGAATCCACCTGCCAATGCAGGAGACACAGGAGACGCAGGTTCAATCCCTGGGTTGGGAAGATCTCCTGGAGTAGGAAATGGCAACCCACTCCAGTCATCTTGCCTGGGAAATTCCACTGACAGAGGAGACTTGCAGGCTACAGTCCATGGGGTCTCAAAAGAGTCAGACACAACTGAGCACACACGCACGTTACCTGTCAGCTGCTAGTTGAGTGTGGCTCTGACCAGCACTGCTTCGTGTATCTTCNGAGCACTTGTCTCATGCATCCAACCTGGGCTGGTGATCTGTTTCACCCTAGATAATATACATGTTTCACTGCTGTTCTCTTGAAACATCCCACCCTAAATTCTTAAAGTTTTTGCTTGGAACTGGCACACATTACAGTGGCTCAAAAAAAAAAAAAAAAACACACAGCAGAGGGATGCAGAACCACAGCCTCCCACAGGGAGGCAGTGCAAGTAACACAAAGAACAAGAGGAGGTTTTTTTTCCACCTTCCCCGAAAAAGGAAGAAAGTAGAAATAAACTGACATCAAAAGTACAATGTAGCATGTCTGTCAGCAATGTGTCCCCAAGAGCACACACAGAAGCAGGGAGAGCGGAAGAGGGTAAATGATGCCTAGAGAGGCCAGAAAGAGGAGGGCCCGACACACCAGGAAGGAGTGACCGCTCACCTGGACAGGGCAGGTCCCAGCACACCAGGCTGCATGTCTAACTTCACAGGCTCAGAGCAAGACCTCCCAAGTAAAGAGCATCTCCCATAAAATCAAAGAGCAATACAGCTGATTCATGTTGTTGTACAGCACAAACTAACACGGCATTGTAAAGCAATTAACCTGCAATTAAAAAAAAAAGTCAAACAGCAAAGCAGGGAGCCTCCCTGCAGAGGAAGGGAAGGATACGGGGGAAGCGGGGCGGGGAGGGGGACAGTGTTAAAGGAACAGAACCTCCATCCAGTGCATCCTACCAGAAGCCCAATCCTTTGGCCACCTGATGCTGACTCATTGGAAAAGACCCTGATGCTGGAAAAGATTGAAGGCGAGAGGAGAAGGGGACGACAGAGAATGAGATGGCTGGATGGCATCACCGACTTGATGGACGTGAGTTTGAGCAAGCTCCGGGAGTTGGTGATGGACAGGGAAGCCTGGTGTGCTGCATACCATGGGGTCGCAAAGAGTTGGACATGACTAAGCAACTGAACTGACCAGAAGCCCTGACCCGAGAACATCCTAAATTCCCAGGGCCATTGGAAGCAGACACTGCTGTCATCCTTGGCTGAGGAAACTGAGGTTCAAAGACGCTGAATGAGGTGCCCCAAGGTCAAACTCTGATCAGTAACAGAATCTGGATCTGCTCTTTACTCTTGTGACTCCTACTGCCACTGGTATACTGTACTTTAGAAGGGAGAAAGGCCGAGAAGAGCTGACAGTTGGGTTTGAATAGCATCCTACTGGCCAACTAGCTGTTCATCCTGATGCTCTTCCTCTGATGGCCAACAGATGCCATCCTGGGTGCCCCGAGTTCCCTCCATTGGTGCCTGCTTGATCCTGACTATCTCCCTGTGACCTGTCCAATCAACACTACCATCTGACACTGTCTGCTCTGTTAGCACCAAATATGATATTTATCAGCTTCCTAAACACACAAGATCCCCTCAACATCACCCTTCCCCCAGTCCTCACCACTGGATGTTCTCAGTTATCTTTCCTTCTGCCTGGAACACTCTCCAGCACCACTTCTCCCCAGCCTGTTCCTGCATCAAGTCCTGCTCATCCCTGAGATTCCAGCACAAACATCCCTAAGAGGAC